ATCTATCTATCTATCTATCTATCTATCTATCTATCTATCTATCTATCTATCATCTATTACCTACTATCCACTCCTCCATGGTTCCTCTTCCTAATAGTAGATCCCACTTTCTAGCCAACTCCTACTTTTATTTTGTTATTCCTTGCCATATAAAGAATAAATTATCCTATTCTCCGATTAGTGTTGCATGCCGTTGCAACCTAAGCTTGCCGCTGAAAAACACCGTTCTCCAAATCTGTTGTCTTGTAGTAACAAAAACAAAGGAGGCCTTTATAGGCAATGAAGAATTTCATGAAGATAAGTGGTAGGATTTAGCACGATGGATCATTTGACCCATAACTTCACTGGAATAGAATAGCCACAATGCACAAAGCTGTACTTCACTAAATCAGCACTGATTGTTCCAAGCCACAGAGGGTAGTATTCAAACATTGCTACTCACATTGTGCTATCAGTGGAAGAAAGGACTTTGTAATGTATGGTGATCTGTATCAACAAAGCTGTATTAGACTGGGCTACATTAGGCACTAAATGCTATCATCCACTGTATTTAAAAAAAAATGAATAAGCCATTATTCATTATATTTGTATATGTGAGAGAGGAGTTGCTTTTGCTTTGGTTTACATATACAATAAGTAGAAGCATTGCCCATGACCTCACGGGAACAATATTTAATATTTAAGAGCTAACTGAGGAGCCATTGTGATAAGTATTGTTTTCTTTAGATCACAAATTTACATATTCCTTAAAATGAAGTAAGTTCATAATGATGCACTTGACATGGAGAGGAAGAGATTTTAATTCACACTCTTCAAAGAAAGAAACAACTATAATAACTGCAGCCTCTTGAGTAACATTAAACAAATAATAATCATTTCATTATGCTAGTGACTTTCAAGGCTTCTATCCATAGAAAAATCTCTTCCAGGTCCATTTATCAACTGCAGAACCTGTTGTGCCTTTCATAGAAGCAATAGAAAATGAAATCCATTGCAAAAGATTGTATGACATATTCCTAGATGTGTAAACAAATGACTTTTCCTTATATATATAACCAAGGAAACTATCAATGACTCCAGCTATTTTTTCTTGCAGTAGTTTTGTGTCCCATTCTTTGCTGCCCAGGCAGAGAATATCATCCATCATTTGGAGTATCACCTAAGAGAACTTGCAGTTATACAACAGTATGAATGTTGGATCTCCATCTCTAATAGCGCACAATTTCCAATGACAGATTCAGATTCAGATTCAGATTTAATTTATTTGTATGCCGCCCTTCTCCGGGAGGGACTCAGGGCGGCGAACAACTCAGGGGGGAAAGGGGACATA